CACTCCATTTATCCAGTTTCTGGGGCTTTGTTGCTGCTGTTCCCTCTGTTGTTGTCCTTATCTGGTGGGTTCCTTTACCATCAATCTGGTGGGATTTAAGGAGGGAGCATGTGGTGCTCCACCCGCTATCTTTAACCAAAAACTGAATCCTCACTGGGGGCTGGGCCGGGGAGGCAGAGGCCCCTCGGAGAGGGCCTGGGGGTGGTCAGCAGGACCACTGGTGGCAAGGCGTCCCGGGCCACAGGAGCTCCGACTCCTCATCTGCTAGTGGGTCATCCTGTCCCTGGGGGCCCTGGGGCATGGGGCAGGTCTGGCTCAGCACTGCAGGCCTAGGGACACTGACCTCCCACTGCTGCTCAGGCAGGAATAGCAGCCTCTTCCTTCTCTGCTGTAATGGCCCCCAACTTCACAGTGTGCAAAAGAAAGGAGTAGCCACTGGAAATACATGTCTCCAAAAGTCTGAAAAAACAACAAACGGAGCTCTGCTCAGAACTAGGAAAGCTTGAGGGCTGGGCTCCCAGGCGGGCGGTGTCCTCCTTCCCAGCTGAGGCTCTGGCCTGTTCCTTTCATCTCATTCCTGCCCTGAATGGGGTCTGTCCCTTTTGTTTCTACCGCCCCCCCTTCAAGCTCTTCCCACCAGCCTGCAGGGACAGCCAGCAGACCCCTGCCCCCAACAGCTGCCTCCTCCAGCAGCCCACCTCCCTAGCCAGCGCTTCCTCAATACCCCTTCTCTGGCTACCCAGCAGCTTGCCCCCCCACCCCCCGCTCCCTCACTGCTCTCCCCCTCCCACCTGATGTCTGAGCCACCTGCTGACAAACCCAGGGGAACAGTTCTGGCCTCACCTGGTGCCCTGTGGGGACCTCCACCCTGACTGGGGTGTGGGGCGGCCTGTGGGCTACCTCTTCCACCCTCAGTGCTCCCTTGCTGAGGGGTCTTCCCTGCTCCTCTGCTCTTCACCCCTGGTAGGTGACCTTCTTGTGCTCCTGACTCTGCTCTCCCTCTGTAAGCTTATTCTGAAAGTTTTATTTCTGGCCCCTTTTCTCTGGAGCTCCAGAGCCAGGGACTGGACCACCTCTTGGATGTTCCAGTGCCCTCCTCCCCGGACCTGCCCATCTGGGTGGGTGGATAGTGGACCCCCACCCTCAGCACCTCACAGAGCTTGGGCCCCACCTTCAGGGCTGCCCCGCAGGCTCACACGCCTGCCCACTGTGCCGTGTTTGAGGCGCCCCAGACCCTTGCCTGGGCTTCTACACTGGCTCCCTTGTCCCTGGACTCCTGCTTCCACACTGTGCTCTGTGTCCCACGTTAGAACAAGGCCAAATCCTGTAGAACCTCCCCAAGTTAGAGCAATCTTCTAAAAACTCAAATTATGATTTCATGCGGCTGTGCTTTCAGTGGGTCCCTGTGGCCCCCAGTCCAAGAGCCCATGAGGCTCTTCCATCAGGCCCCTGCTTGCTCCCCACCTCATCTCTGCTCTGGGGGTTCTTTCTGTCTTCAGTTGGGGGCACCTGCCCAGCAGCCCAAGCCAACACTGGTGCCTTGTCCATGACCCCTAGTTTTCACTCCCCCAACATTAACTAGTCACCTGATTGGGCTGCTTATGCCTGTGCCCCTCTCCCCCAGCAGCCCGTCTCCGACTTCTCCCCCTGTGCTCAGGAGGGCTGTCCCTCTGACCCAGCTGCAGAGTTGTCTCTCCAACATGAAGATCAGAGCGCGTCTCCACTTTGTTTAAAGTGGCTTCCACCTCTGCAGGAGGATGTTCGGGGAACACATCTGCCCTGCTGGTAGACTTGCATTCCAGCACCTTCTGGTTTGCGGCTGTGTTTGGTCTCCCGACACTGCTGTTCTCCTGTGGGGCACTCCACACTTGCTGGGGCTGACTCACGTCCTCACCCGTCCTTGGCATCCATGCCCCGCCTGGAACGGGTCGTGTCTCCCTGGTGTTGGAGGCCCTGCTGTGTGGCAAGCCCCGACCAGAGCTGCTTCTGCTGCTTCCAGACTAAGCCAAGCTGTGAGTTCCCTGACCCAGCTGGTCTCTGCAGGGCCAAGCAGCCCCAGCGAGAGGCTAGTACTCAGTGCTTGCTTTATTAATTGTCAGACCAGTGAGCCAGTAGTATTTTCACCCTAGTTTTTAAAGTGATTACTTTACAGAAGTTTGATTTGGAAGGACCTCCATTATGAAAGTGGGAAGTGCTCAAGGTTTCAGACCTACAGGCACCTTGCATGGGCCGTTTGCTCTATCCTGGTGGCTGCCACGGCAGTTGGAGTCTGTGCCAAGACACCTGGCAAGATGCAGCGATGGGTCAGTCTGTGCCGGGATTGCCCACAGTCCTGGCCCAAGGGGCTACGTGGGGACTTGTGCCCTGTTCCTTGCAGCGCATGGCCCATCACACTCACGGAGCCCAGTGTGTGCATGCTGAATGAGCAGCCTTAATGTTCAGTGTCTAGTGTGTTTCTGTGGCGGCCCAGAGAATGAAGCTCAAAACCCCCATTGTCAGTTGCCCAAGATGAACATTCTAGATTTCCCCAACCTTGCCAGTACGGTTGACAATTATAACCAGAAATCCTGCAGAGGCACCATGAGATTTCTGACCAGCACTCAGGCTGCCTTTGAGCACAGGCTGGGGCCGGGCCTTGTGACTCTAGAAGCCGTGGCAGAACCTCATGGACTGTTACAGGCTGGGGCCGGGCCTCGTGACCCTAGAAGCCATGGCAGAGCCTCATGGGCTGTCACAGTCATGCCCCAGTGGGGACACAGGGCCTTCTGACGCCATGGCACCAATCATCTCAGGAGAGCAGGTGGAGGTTCCTCTAGGACGATCCAGGTACTGTCCTCCCTGGTCAGCCAGGCCTGTGGTGGGTGTGGACCCCCACCCAGTCTCCACTTGGTGACGATGTGCTTGTGGGAGTTGTGGCCAGGGTCAGCTGCACAGCAGGGCCAAAGTGAGCCAGCTTGGAGGGGATCCTATACACCAGGTCCATCACAGAGCAGGGAGGCCACAGTCGGGCAAATGGCTGGAGGAAATGGGGAGGGGCGGAGGGGTGTGAGTCCCTGTGGAATCAGCACCAGTGCTGGGTCCGTGTGGAGCAGGGCTGTGGCTCAGGGCCTACACATCGCTTTCAAGCCCAGCCGTGTTTACTCTGCGTGCTCCCATCAGAGAGGAAGCTGGTCACAGGGATGCTGTTCAGGAGGTGCTGGTAGGGGGGACGCTGTTCAGGAGGTGCTGGTAGGGGGCTGCTGGTTGTAGGTGGGTAGTTCTCCACCTTCCCAGAGCCTTATTTGCCCTTCTGTGTTGTCAACACTCCTGTCCCTCCCCCTTCACTGGTTGGGCATCACCCTGTGTGCCCCAAGACCCTCTCCCCATAACTGTGCTGCAGCTGAACGGGCCTCTGGGGGCCTGCCCAGGCCTGCATCCCCGCCACTCCACTCCTACCCAGGGCTGGGGGATGGAGGGTGTCACCGCCAGGAACGGGGTGTGGGCAGCCTTGAGGCAGCAGCTGTAAAGTGCCCCAGGACCCTGGGGATGGCAGGGCGAGGGGGCTCCACAGGGGGTGCCTGTTCCAGGCATTGGCTCCCTGGCCATGAGCCGGGTTGGGATGGTCATCCTGTGTGGTGTCCCGGGCAGGTCCCGCTAGATGAGGGGCCGGGACAGGAAGGACTCTGCCTTCAGCCCCTTGCCCTGGTGGAGCTGCTCAGGAGATAAACAGGAGACACTGAGGCCCAGCACGGGTCCTGGGGAGGCTCCTAGGACCGGGCACCCAGGGCCTGGGCTGCCCTCCGAGCCGCCTTGCGTAGCGCCTCCTTGACCTCCCGGTTCCGCAGGCAGGAAATGATGGGGTTGTTGAGGTCGAAAGAGTAGATGGCGCATGGCCGGGCATAGATGAGAGGGAGGCCGAGTCGAAGATGACAACCACAGCCAGGCGCGCGGCGCAGGTGGAGAAGGCCTTGTGCCGGCCGGTGGCCGAAGCGATGCGCAGCACAGTGCCGAGGATGGCAGTGTACGAGAGAATGGTGAGCAGGAGCGGCCCCAGCAGGATGAGCAGCGCCAGGAGGAAGTCCACCAGTTCTGCTGCGGACACGCCAGAGCATGCCAGGTTCAGCAGGGGGGACACATCACAGAAGAAGTGGTTCATGACGCTGGGGCCACAGTAGCCCAGGCGCGAGATGAAGAAGACCTTTCCCAGGGAAATGGTGAAGCCTAAGATCCAGGAGCTGGCGGCCAGGAAGCTGCAGAAACTCGTGATGGCGGGGTAGCAGTCGTAGCCACGACGCTCAGGAGCGTGCGCTGGTGCAGGCCAGCGCCAGGAAGAAGTACGGCTGTGCCACGCAGCCCACAAAGGAGATGTGGTGAAGCTGGGGCACCGCCAGGCTGAGCAGCATCTTGGGCATGGTGACAGAGATGTACCACACCTCCAGGAAGGACAGGTTGCTGAGGAAGACGTACATGGGCTTGGGCAACGGGGCACTGACACGGATCCCGGTGAGAAGGACCACGTTCTCCGAGACAGTCGGCATGTAGGCCAGTGTGAATAGCACCAGCAGGCACACGGGGAAGCCCAGCGAGCCTGGGAAGCCCACCAGGATGAAGTCTGTCACCTCGGAGCAGTTGTCCCCGGCGGACATGGTGTGCACTGCCTGGTAGCAGAGGAGCAGGTTAGGTGATGGCTGGGGTGCGGGGTGTGGGAGGGAGGGGCCCCGTCCTAGTCAGTATCCCCCAGGACTGCCCACGGCGGGGCCCGCGGCCTCACACGTTTCCTCCGGGCACTGGGTGGGGGGTGGGCAGACGTGGGCTCTGCCCTGGAGCCACCGGCCCTGCGTGGTCACAGATGAGACAAAGGCCGTGGTGCGGTGGGGGTCTGTGCAGGGCACACGAGAAGGCCTCAGAGGCCTGGCCTGGGGACCTGCTAACAGGTGTGGATGAGGACCCACCCCAGGCCTGGCTTGGACCCACCGGTGGGGTGGGGGGAGGCCGTGGCCAAGGTCACCCAGGTCGGAAGAATGGGTGTCGTGGGTCAGTGGGCAAGTGAGCGGCCTGGGGTGGACGAGGAAGGGCTGGGCCCGGAGCTGGGCTCCTGCCATCTTCCTGGGTGAGGGGGAAGGCATCTGCTGCCCAGAGACGCAGCTTCCTTGTCTGTTCTTGAGATGAGCCCCAGAATTTGCCCTCAGGTTAAGTGGAGAGGTACCACACCTCCGGGAGGGATGGGGTGCTGAGGAGGACGTTCATGGGCATGTGTGGTGGGGGGCCAATGTGGATCATGGCCACTCATGGGGTGCCTGTTTCCTAGGAGAATTCAGCATCCCAGGGAGTTGGAGGGATGCAGGAGGCCAAGTTTCCCACCCTGGGTCCCCTTGACACCCTGGCCAGGCAAGCTACGTGCTCCCTGGAGCTCCCAGGAGCTGAGGCCCCTCCACGGTCCCTGGGGTCCAGCCCTCCGCCGCCTCACCCCACGTGCAGCTCCTGTCTGGTTCTGCCCAAGCCATGCTGATACAGCCACAGCTCTGCGGGGAGGTCCTCAGGGCCAGACTCCCTGTGCGCCCTGATTCCGGTCCCTGCAGCGGTGGCCGAGGGATTGACAGGGGCAGGATTGGTGGGCAGCTTCCTCGCTGCTACAAGGAACTGTTCTCACAGGATTGAAAGGGCCAGAGCCTCAAAACAGAAGTCGGCTTCCTTCATCCCTGCCCACCCATGGGTTTGCTGGCTCAGGGGCTCCCCAAAAGGTGGCTGAACCTTGTCCAGGGTCCCCCTGCACCCTGCCGCCCATCAGCCTGTGCTCTCCATTCTAGGAACGTTCCCGCAGGTCACAGGCTGTGCTTCTAGATCTCCAAAACCCATTTAAAAACCAATGCACTCATTTGTAGTATGGTTGGGGTTTTAGCTTCTTACCTGCACCCCGAGTGCCTCAGAACGTGACCCTGAGTGGATCTGCACACTTGATGTGGAAGTAAGAGTGTGCGAAACAAGCTGGCTGATATACGGGAGAATGGGTTTGGAGGACAAAACCCCTAAACTCTTACTCGGGCTCTGTTCTGCATCTTGCTGCTGTGAGCCTTCAGAGGGCATTCCCCCACACCAGGCCTTGTCCCCCGAGGCCTCAGACTGAGCTTGGGGCTGAGCAGGGTGTGGCGGGTGGCCGCCCTTCCCTGGTGGAGTAGATGCCCCAGGGCACAACTGCCCTGGCCCCCCACCCCCGCTCATTTTTGGAGAGGCCCTTGAGCCTAGAACCTGGCAGGGTGGCTGCCTCCACCCCTAGGCCCCAGCTCATGTCCCCTTCTCAGCTTCCTGCCTCCTCCCAGAACCCCAGAACTCCCCGGGACTCCTCCTGGCCTCTGCCCTTGAGTGGCCACAGACTCCCTCACCTCTCTCCTCTGCATACCGCCCAGTATCTGCTTGACGCCTGCAGGTACACGCAGTTTTCATCCTGCAAAGATTTCAAGAAGCAGCAGAGTCCAGAGCTCCAGGGTGTGGGCTCTGGGATGGGCGGCTCAGGTTCAAGCCCCACCTTCCCCAGCCACCTGTACCCGGGACAGGACATCTGGTCTCTCTGTGCTTCAGACCTCTCAGCTGTCCCATGGGGCATGGAGATGGGGTCCTGGCCTCAGGGGAACCCCGATCTCTGGGGCTGCCCCATCTCGTGGCCTCGTGTTCCTGGGCTGCAGAGTCATTTTATAGAAGTCACATTTACTCATATTCACCATTCAACCCGGGAGGGCTCCGGGCTCTGGATATGGCATCCAGCAGTCAAGCTCCTGTGTGTGGAGCTCTGGAGCTGGAGGGAAGAGACGAGGGGCTGGTGACGTGTGCTCTGGCCAGTAGGGACCGGGAGGAAGTCTGGGGCGCAGTCAGAGCTTTGTACAGAGTCCTGGAGATAGCTTGGAAAGAGAGCGTGGGCGGAGGCACCAGCCACTGCACAGCCTAGGAAGGGGGCGTGGGCTCTACGTGTGGGGGGGAGGGGACGTGCGCTCCACGTGTGGAGGGGGAGGGGGCATGGGCTCCACGTGTGGGGGGGAGAGGGTGGGTTCCACGTGTGGGGGGAGGGGACGTGCGCTCCACGTGTGGTGGGGGAGGGCGCATGCTGGGACCGGCCTGGACTGAGAGAGCTGGGGAGGGGTCGGCGGCTGAGCTCCGGGGTGGGCGCATGGCCTGGTGGTGCCCCTGAGACATGCGGGGTTCTGGGCAGAGCAGGGCTGCTGGGAAGAATAGACTGGCGGGGCCCAGATGGGCTGCATTCAGGTTGCTGCTGGAGCTAAGGATCGCTGCGGTAGGGCGGGACGTTGCTGGATTTGCTGATGGGTCGGGCGTGGTGTGGAAGAACGAGGAGTCCAAGGGTGTGGGATTGGTGGGTTTTGGAGGGCTGGGGGGGTTGGGAGTAAGTGTTTCCGGTGTGCAGATTTAGAGATGAGGGGAAGTTAGGTAGAGACATGGGCACGTGCGTCTGGAGCTCAGAGCCTTCCTGGAGGTGGGCATTTGGGGTCCCACAAGGTGCGAGGCTGGGAGGAGGACCAAGGACCGGGGCCTCCGGCAGATGAGGGTGTGGGATGAGGAAGGAGCCGGGAGCAGGGCTGTCCAGCTGCGGACATGAGTCAAGATGGCCAGGCTCTTTTCCACTGCTGTAAGCGACTCCTCAGTTGCCTTGGTGAGGGACTTCAAGCATGCTGGAGCTAAGCTTTTCAGGCTGCAATTTGAGGTGACCGTGAACGTGGCCCGAGTGAGTGACCAAGGGAGGACACTCAGATACACTGCTGGTCCGTGGGTCCACACTCAGCCCTACACCATCCCTTCCCACTGGGCCTTGGTGCTGGGGAGTAGCTGTGGCTCCTGGGCAGGGCTGACCACCCTCTGGGCCTCATGGCCCTGGGTTCCACCTGGGCCAACCAGGCTGCTTTGCAGAGAGGTGGCTGGAACCTTCCAGAGGAAGAAGCTCTCTTACTCACGCGAATGCCTCAGCCCTTACCCTGGTCTGCTCAGGGCTTCCTGCCCTGGTGCAAATCTGTGTCCCCCCTCCCCCGCCCCTGCACCCTCCCAGGGGCCTGGCACGACAGCGCCTCTCCAGTAGGGAGGTCAGGTGGCTCTGTGCAGGCTGTGTTCAGGCAGGGTGTGTCTTGGGCTGCTGGACTTCTTGCCGGTTTGTTGATTTTGGTGGGTGGTTGGAGATTTTCTTCTTGGGAATCCCAGCATCCACAGGCAGCGCTCCCCACAGTTCCCCAGCTTCCTGCTTCCCAGGGTCCTGTTTCCCCACATCATCTCAGCCCCTTTCCACAGACACCCCTGGCTTCGCCTGGCCCAGAACTTCACCTCTGCATCCAAGGTGTGGAGATTAAGGTCCTGCCCATTTCTCATGTCGCTCCCACAGCACCCTAGTTCCACCTTAGTGGGTGCCTAACACCTGGGCTCGCCACCCCTCCCCAAACTCCAGCGTCAGTGTTCACCCCTGTCCCCAGCAGAGTGTCCAGTCTGTCCCTGCAGCTTGAGCTCCAGCGGACCCAAAGGCCCTCTGCGGCCCCAGGCAGGCTTCCCAAACCCTACAGCGCCCACCCCTCCTCAGAAAACAGGCCAAGGGTCAGGGACTCTGACTTCCTGCTTCCCCCACAGAGACCTTACCTTTATCCACACACATCCTGGGGGCTTTCCTGCTCCAGGCTGTGCTGAACTCTGGACCCTTCCCTGGCCTTTCCTGCAGGGTCTCCACCTTCTTTCTTTCTGCCTTTTTTTTTGAATTATTTTTTTAAAGATTTTATTTATTTATTCATGAGAGACAGAGAGAGAGAGAGAGAGAGAGAGAGGCAGAGGGAGAAGCAGGCTCCCCGCCAAGCAGGGAGCCTGATGCGGGACTCAATCCCAGGACTCTGGGATCATGACCTGAGCCGAAGGCAGACGCTTAACCATCTGAGCCACCCAGGCGCCCTCTTTCTGCCTTTGCTGACATCGCAGAGACACAGGCTGCAGCCTCCTGGCTTGGAAATGACAGGGGAGGCAGGCCCAGCCGCGCAGCCCACACCCCACTTCCCCCGGGTAGCAGCACCCGCGTGCCCTCACCCCACTTCTTGCCCACTCTAGTGCCCTTGTCAGCTGGGCAGGAGGCCTCCCTGCCTGTCACTGGCCTTCGAGAAGTAGGGCGTCCACTCCTGACCATGCTCTCTGCTTCCGTCCACACTGGCTGGCTGACGTGTGTTGGAGACGCCCACAGTTGCATTGCTGCCAATCCAGCTGGACCTGCAGGATCCGGCTCCTAGTTGACTTGGCAGCTACTCACGCCCATCTGGGGTTCCATGTAAATTTTAGAGTCATTTTGTCAGGGTTAGCCTCCCTCCTTCAGTAGTTAATTTGGGGAAATTTTATGTCTTTGCAAGATTGAGTCTTCTGACCTGTAAACTGGGTGTATTTTTCTTTCTTACTTAAACTTCGCTGTGATGTCTCTCAGTTTTCTGTGTAAAGGTTTCCCACATCTTTCATTACAGTAATTCCTAGATGTTTAATATTTTTGTTGCTTTTGTAAGTGGTAGCTTTTTAAAAGAATTCCTTTTCTGTTTGTTGTTGCTCTTATGTAGAAAACAATTGCTTTTTGTTTATTAACTGTGCCCTGTGAGCTTGCTAAACTGTCGTGGATTCTACTCATTTAGCTGCAGATTCTTCTGGATTCCTTTCTTTCCGGTGGCATTGTCTGTGGGCCATGAGGGCTTTGCCCTCATTTCTAGTCCTAACGACTTTCTTCTCATAACCCACTGCACTGGTGAAGGCCCCCAGGGCAGGGCAGAGCCGGTCGGTTGAAGTGGGGAGGGCAGCCCTGTGCTGCCTCTGGTCTCTGACTGGGTTTTGGAGAGCAGGAGGCTTGCTGTGGGTTGTGGTTTGATACTTCTTATCAGATTAAGGGAGTTCCGGGCTACTCCTAGTTTGCAAAGTATTTATTAATTGTAACACATTTTTTAATATAAAACTTTTTGCCTCTCTTAAGAGGATAATATAATTTTTCTCCCTTAGTACCTCAGTGTGGCAAATTACAATGATGGCTTTTCTAATGGCAGACCAACTTTGCAGTCCTGGGGAAAGAGCCAGCTGTGGGCACCATTATTATGCTTTATACACATTGCCGATTCTGTTGGTTCCACGCACAGGGTTTTCTTTGTGGGAGGATAATCTTTCTTTAAAAACAGCATTATCCAGGTACAAATGATGTACAATAAATAGCACATATTTGAAGTGTACAATTTGATGAGTTTTGACATATGTATACACCCATGAAACTGATACCACAATCAACAGAATGTGCATTTCCATCCCCCCCAAAAGTTTCCTCCTTCCTGCCCCTCCCCACAGTACCTCTCCAGGTGGCCACTGACCTGCTTTCTGTCACTGTACGTTAGTTTGCATTTCCTAGAAATTTATGAGTGGAGAGGATGTGGAGGAACTGAAGCCCCAAATAGTACAACCACTTTGGAAAACAGTTTGGGCCCTTCATAGTGAGTTACACCTGCTCCTACCGAACGACCCCACCACTCCACTCCGAAGTACTTACTTCAGAGAAATGAAAATATACGTCCACCAAAGGACTTGTACAAGAATGTTCTTAATAGATTTATTTTTAACAGTCCCAAACTGTAAACAATGCAGGAAATCCACATGGGTACAATCCCTAGAGCTATTTCAGATTTCACTGGCTGTGCACGTTCTCATGTGTGTGTCTGTGTAACTCACAGTCACATCACATATGTACGTTCTGGTGAGTACCACAGGAATCACGCTGACTCCCTGGTGCTGCCCCTTTCTAGTCACACCCCTACACCCTCACGTACCTAGCCCACTAATCTGTTCTTCGTCTCTGTTGTTATTTCAGAAACGTTATATAAATGGTATCATGCAATATGTATCCTTTGGAGATGGCTTTTTTCATTCAGCATAATTTCCTTGAGGTTCGTTCATGCAAGTTGTTTTGTGTGTATCAATAGCTCAGTCCTTTTTTATTGCTGAGTAGTGTTCCATGCATGGATGCACCACAATTTAACTGTTGAACCTTGGAGAGGCATTAAGTAATTCCCAGTCTCCGGCTACTGTGAATAAAGCTGCTGTGAGCTTTAGAGTACAAGTTTCTGCATGAAGATAAGATTTTGCTGCTCTGGGGTCAGTGCCCAACAGTGTAGTCACTGAGTCATATGGCAAGTCTAGTTTTCGGGTTAGAAAGAAAGGCCAAATTATTTAGAGTGGCTGTGGCTGTACCATTTACATTCCCACCAGCAATGTGTGAGTGATTTAGTTTCTCGACTTCTTGCCAGCATTTGGTATTACCACTAATTTTTTTAAAAGCCATTCTGGTAGTTCTGTAGTGATATCTTATTGTGTTTTAGTTTGCATTTACTTAACGGCTAATGAAGGTGAACATCGTTTCATGTTCTTATATGACACATCTGTATGTCCTCTTTGGTGAAATGACTATGCATTCCCATTTTCTAATTGAATATTTTTTCATG